AGCAGCTCGCCTGGTGCTGCCTGCTTGACTTCACAGAACCAGAGGGGAGCGGCCAGAGCTTTGACCTCTGCTGCTCTTTATTTACAGGATTTCAATCAAAAACAGGGTTGAAATCCAGAGTAGGGGCTTGTGGAGCAGTTGACATTCCAGGTGTTGCTCCGATAAATGACTTTATCAGGAGCCTTCTAGAAACTTCGCCTGGACCGAGCGCTCGGACACGCGGGATTGACTGGGCGGAGGAGCAGCACGGGGAGGAGAGCTCTCCGGCACGGTGACTGCGATCCTGCCACCTGTCACCGCTGGAGAGAACTCCCAGACCTGGCAATAAAGGTTTTATTCTTGTTGAAGGTAAACTCTGGTGTCCTGTGGTTTGAGGGCCGGGGAGTAAAAAAAAAAACACAGACCAGCTTGTTGGTACCTAAACCCTGAGCGTGTTGGAGGATTTGATTTAAAGAGGGTGATGGAGGTTGTTGCTTCAAACTGATTGATTTATTTTTTCATCCCCCAAGCCACTGGTAAATGGGGCATGTTAAGCTTTAGACACCGTCAAAGCAGAGGAGATGGAAAAGGATGCACGGAGAGGAGATGCAATTTCTGTGCAGAATCCTTAAAAAAAAATTTTCCGCAAAATTTGTTGTGCTGGTACCGCTGACATAATTATGAATCACTCTGACGCTTTCAGCTCTGACAGCCCCGTCTTTTTCAGGTACTGGCCAGAGAGCTCACCGCTTCCCTGCGTCTGCAAGCGTGGCCCTCCGGCAAAGCTGGGAAGTAGCGGATGTGTTTGTTGGCTTGTGGGGTTTTGGTTTTTTTTTTTGGTTGGTTGGGTTTTTTGCTTTTTTTGGGTTTTTTTGGTTTGTTGTTTTTTTTAAGGCTGTGTTTAAGTTTACTAGCAGCTTCACCAAGAAATAAAGCAATTTTTTGGGGGTCTTATTTTTAGCTTCTCATTTGTGTGTTCTTGCTGGGGTGATTTCATGCTGCGCTGGCTCAGCTTCTGCGAAGCTCGCCGGGCTTGTCTGCACAGGCTGGGGTTCTGTTTGGAAGCAGGATGGATCGATGTGGCCGTTTGATATAAAAGCAGCCAAATGAAGAGCTGGTTTGTTCTCTCCGAGCCGTTGCTTTCGCCAGGGACAGGGAGTTCCTCCAGCAACGCTTGTTCCTGGCCTCTGTCCTGCCTGCCGCAGCGCTGGGATGGGCTCAGAGGGTCTTGGGTCCTGGTTCTGCACCTGGATCCTCAGCCAGGACGCGAGGAAACCTCACTGGGGCGGCCCGGGATGGCCCAGGAGAGGCGAGGGGTTGAGGAAAGGTCCTGGGGGTAGCAGCTTCTCACCCTTTGTGGGTCTGCCCGAGTTTAAAAATCCGTCGGGATGTGGCGGTTGCTGATGGAGAGCCAGGGAAGGGAGGTGGTGGCAGGTGGGTGTGAATTTTCCACGGGTTTTCGTGCAGCTCCCGGGCTCTGTGGCACAAAGTCTGGGCACAATCCTTGCCTGCGGCGCGCTCTGCAGCGTGGCAGGGGAAAAAGCAAAACCCCACTTCACTCTACATCGAGCCTTCTGGGGTTTGAAGAACACCGGGCAGAGGTAGTAAAGCCACAAAGTCTGGTGAGACTTCAGACATCTTCAGGTGGAAGAAAGAGGAGGCACAAAGAAAAATGTGAGAACCCGATGGTGGAAGAGGCGCTGTGCAGTCCTTCCCGTGGCGATGCTGGGAGCTCCGTGGCCACCTCCTGAGCTGCATCCATCCACGGTGACAGCGTGGGACCAGGCGTCCGGGTCACCAACTGGGGAGCCCAGCGGGTCCTGAGGGCACACGATGGGTTCCCTACCGGCAGCCCTACGCCGGGGGATGTCGCTGTGACAGCTGGGATGCTCCGACAGAAGCTCTTTGCCATGAGGATGGTACAGGGCAGACGGGGGGATGGTTTTGGCCAGGCTGGTGCCCGTGTCCCATGCCATTGACGCCCGGTCGCGACGAATGTCTCACAGTCGGGCAAGTGCAGCCTTGGGGCCAGGGCACTTCATAGAATCATAGAATGACCCGGGT